TGTTGCTGCAGATCCCCATTGGCATCGATAGTCTGACCCCATTGACTGTAGGTCCTGATGCATTTTTCCATCATAGACTCTGAACCTGTCCAGGAGCAGTGAACATGTTGATTTATTAATAGTGTTAGTATAAGGTCTCCAACAACAAGCTGGAAGACCCCTTCCATTCCATGCTCTGTCATCATACTTTCAAAGGCGATGAGAGAGGCTAAAACATGGGACCCAGAGGCATTTGACTCAGTCAATGTCGAGAATAGGAGACTGGGGGAATCCTTCAGTCCTTTCTTGCATGCCAATTCGATAGGCTGGAGTGTGGTGTGATGTTTCAGATGGTCGTCACCATGGAAACCCCTGAGGCATAGGGTGCTTTGAGGTTCCTTCCCTAGTCCATCTGAGCCAGATCCTGTCCAGGCTCCAGTGTGGTTGATACCTCCAAGCCGAGGGCTTCTGTAAGCTTGGTCTTCTCTTTGGTTTTCCCAATGTGCTGGAGGAGCTCCTGAATTGAACTGCGGTCAATGGTGCTGCAGTCATGGTTGGAGGATCAGATGGTGGGATGATTGGATCAGATTCAAAGAAGGCTTGTCTGAAGCCTTGTGGATGAACAAGGATGCTGGTGCTGGCGCTGCGTTTTGAAGATGAAGATGCTGAGCAGAGGAAGCGTCGTCAAGGTCCATCAAGTGAGAATAAACAAAAGAGGAGCAATGGCTATGGCAATGGCGGTACCAGCGGCAACAACAGGAGGAGCGGCAACAAGAGGAGTAGCAGGAGCGTGGTGGATATCCAGTCAATCGAGTCAATCGAATGGGGAATTTATGAGCTTTGTTATCCTTCGCGTTGCTTGAATCTTCAAACAAACAACTGTTTGAATGACACGAGCTTGCGAATCGCTCGTTTGAATGACATGAGAGATCAATCGCGATCTCTCGTACGGAGCGATCGATTGCTCCGTACAATCCGTACCGTGGATCGAATCCTTCAAACGACAAACTGCAAGCCAGTTCGCTGCAAGCCACACAAACGACCAATGCCGGTCCTGGGTAAGCAGAGACCAACTGCCGATTGATCAGCAACAACAACACGGAGCGATTATCGCTCGCGTTGTTGTTGTTCTTTACTGATGATAACACGTACGTATCGTGTACGTCGAGTTAATGAAAAGTGAGGAACTTCACTCGAAGCATGACTCAGGTAATTTGAACCGATAATAGAGGTGAACTCGAGAAGAATAACACAAGCATGACTCAAGCCTACACACAAGCCGAGCTTTTATGCAGTCGGAGCTCATTTTTCGTGAATTCTGTTAACTCTGTTGTCGCGATCGATCGTCGTGGACGAGATGCCACAAGCGGCAGGCTCTCCGGTGTAGAGATAACAGTAGTAGCAGTAACAGTAACAGTAATAGTAACAGTAACAGTAGCGGTTCGTTAGCGCTCGGATAGTAAAAGGTGGACTCCTGCATGAGTCCACGTGATAATATAGGATCCTCATCGCGATTTCGATCGACGACAGATGGAATGGGAGATTGCTTTCGAGCGAATCAAATGGTTCATCTCATTGAGATTACGATCGTCAACAGGATAAAGAAGAGGGGTATCAAGAGATGACAAGCTACAGATGAAGAGCGCAAGAGGAAACTCAGGAGCAGTCTGCATCCAGGAGTAGCGAAATCCATTGATAACCACAAGGGATAGACATATAAGAATAAGAATGAGTAACATCTCATAACCTCGCATGCTACCATGCGACAATACCATTGTGCATTGATTAATCTAGGGATCTAAGAGATGTAAAGTTTGTATTTCCAAATAAGTGAGCAGTTATTGATTATTTTCTAGAATAAGCCTGCTAATTGTAAAGCTGTAAAGCTGAATTGTAAGCTGTATCCCGTCGCAACTGATGTCACCATCCCTTTCAGGTTGCTTGTCCAGTGGCAGGATTGGTGTGCGCAGTACATTCAAAAATGGGAGGAGGAATTTGACGATCTCAATACCAAGGTGGCTGATGCCGAACGCGAGAAAGAGGAAGCAATTGAAGCTCTTGGAGCGTATGCACCGCAGGTCATGGGGGCAGATAACAATCCGGCAGGAGCCAATGCTGGCATGGAAGCAGATGCTGGTCCACAGATGTTCTCTAGTTTCGTGGACTCCAAGGGATACTGTGGCAAGGTATTATCCAAGCATCGTGTTGACAGCATTGTGCTTTGTTTTTTCAAGGCGCGGCGCCCATTCCAGGAGGCGAAGATGTGTGGCCTCTGTTGCACAGTGGCAAAGATTGATTACAACTACAAGCTTGCCAAAAAAATTCATGTCTGGACAAAGCAAGGGCAGAGTTTCCCTCCATACAAATGCATTGTTACTATTCAGAATGAGGATGGCATGACTATCTTCTGGAAGGGTCTGCGGCACAGTGAGTCTGTCAGTGAAATCTCTGCTGATCTCAAGAGATTGCGAGACCGATTGAACCTCAATCTCAAAAGGAAGAAGATCGCGGAGGAAGCAGCCATTGCCAGAGATCTTTTCGAAGACCCATCTTTGTATCAACCAAAAACAATTGATGAGGTGCCTCATGAGGAAGCTGTCAAGGTAATTTACGTGGACAACTGTTGTTCTACTCGCCGCATGCTTACATTGGCATTCCCAGGGGCAGTTGTCTTGTTGGATGTCTTTCACTGGTTGAAGCGATTCAATGAAGCATACTACAAGCCCACCAGCAAACAGGCAGGCATACTTAGAGGACTCCTACACAGAGCCGTCTTTCTGGTGGAATCTTCTGAATATGAGCGAGCCAAGGAACTGGTGACAGCAAAAAGGAAGAGGCAACCGACAGTTAAAGAAATCCTACAAGAGGCGAAAGCTGTCATTCCGAAACCAGCCATCCTCAGAGCAAATGTAGAAGCAGTACTCTGGTATGCACAAGCCAAGGACGCAGAGATTGAAATTGACTTATCAACACGTACTCCTGATGACACCAGACTTAAACCAGAGAAGTTCCTCAAGAGTGGTAGTTTGCTAACTCCAGAGATGCAGCAGCAAGACACCATGACGAATTACACAGTGACGAAATTCTAAAAGAATTAGAGATACTGTTGCCAACAGACAGTGGTTGCGAGAGTTCAATGGACGCCTTCAAGCGATTGACAAATGAGAAGACATGGTTGCCCCTCCGAAGTCCCCTTTCGAGTACTGCAGAATCTACAGTTGACAAAGAAGAGGCCTCTTTATTCGATGAGTGGAAAGGTGACTATGGAAGAAGAGTTAGCAGTGGACCCAAATGCTATAAGCAGTTCGAACGACGATGGAACATAGAGGTATCAAGGAGATTTAAGCTTTGGAGTGAAGGCGATGACACAACCATCAAGATCAACAGAAAGAGCCAACTGCAACTGGAACAGTACTATGACCAAGTTGAGGAGGCGAAAGCCCTTGAAGCCGTCGCTCCAAGAGGTGTTGATCCGTACCATGACAACGTTACTGCCCAAATTAGAGCAAGTCGACAACTACTCAATGCTCCTCCCACCATCCATGGAGCTAGACCAAGAGAGCTACATGCAGGTGGAACCACTCCATTTGGCAATCCAACAGTACTGAATGCTGATGTTGCTGCCGGAGCTTTGCGATCTGTACGGGTTCAAAATGGACAAAATCCCGTGGCAACGTTGATCACCGGCTGGTTCCCATCGAGTATGTGCGACCGGTAGCTCCAGAACAACCAATGCCACCACCAACAACTCTAACAAAAGTGTTCAGAAGCAGAGCATTTTGCATGGTTTGTGGCCACAAAAAGAGAGAACATGCAAAGCAAGAGAAAGCTGGAAAAAACTGTGTAAGAGACTGGTGTGGAAGGTGTCATGAAAGGAAGGATTGCCATGGCGCCAATGATGGCTTTGGTCAAAGCTGTGCCAAGGATACCCATCCAAGCAGCCACTACAAGGATTGGTTTGAATACAAACAGGTGAGTTGCTGTTACTAAGTTTACAACTGGTTGACTACTTGGATAACAAACACCAACAGTTTCCTCTTCTTTAATTTCCAGCACTAACCACCTCATCAGGTCCATCCAGGTTCAAGTCAACCAAGTGCTCATGAGTCTCCAGCACTCCAAATCCATGGAGATGGTTGACACAGCCCTCAAGGTACTCCTCAGTTTCCACAGCCAGCAACTTGAAAGTGAGATGGTCCTTGTAAGTCCTGTCAAACCACTGACTCCAAGCCTCCATACACTGCTTGTGCTCACTTGTGTAGCCATGAAACCTCTCTCCTGTGTACTCCAGAGCCAGCCAATAGATGCATCTCTTGAACTTGGCAGCCCTATTAAGGTAAATCTGTATGTCAATGTTCTCAGCAAGCATTTCAAGCACAAGACAATACCACTCAATGCTCTTCTGACACCCCCAATTTTCCATGGTATCAATGATCTCATTCATGTCAGGTGGCACTGGCCTGGCTACTTTGGTCATGATGAGGTCTTCCAACTGGTATGGCTCAAAACAACTCACTGGTACACAATTGTAGGTGTTTGGGTGGACAATTTGATGCCCTTCTGCTTGCAAGAGAACATACTTCAGTTCAAAGCTGCGCCTGGTTGCCTTGAGTTCATTGTAAGGGTAGACAGTGACATCCACTAGCCACTTTGAAAAGAAAGGAGAAGCTTTGATCCTCATTGTTCAGTACTTGTAGTGTTGACTTGGATAGTTGACTTTAATGACTCGACGGAGGTACATCCAAAGTCACGTACCTCTACTTTGTGAGCGCGAAATTGTGGAGGGAAACAGAGGTACGCGTGTTAAGTCCTTAGTGTTCCGCAAGACTCCAACGGATACACAAGAGTTAGGTGACAATTTTTGAATTACTGTGTGCTTTAGTGTACTGCGACAAAATCGTTAAGTCTTTGTCTTGTATAAAAATTTCAGTACTTTGGCGATAATACCTGTCTCGCTCCCAGCCTCTGCAGTATCATCAGAGGCATAGCTTGTTTCTCGCCTCAGCTGTACCGTATTGCAACTAATCTCCCACAAAGATATCCAAGGAAGGTATACTTTGCTTCCCCACAAAATTGCCCGTCTCTGCACCGTTCAGCTCGTTTGAGTACAAAAATATGATGCTTTTCCTTCGAGGCAAACCTGCACAGAACATAGCCACCTGGTAAGCGAAAGAACGGGATCGAAAGTGAGCAAATGCAACTCGGTCATGCAATTGGCCTATTTCCTTCATAGCGGCCTTGTAACCACGTTCACCAAAGACTTTCAATCCTTTGTCCAGCAAATCATGCTGTCCGTAACTGTGACCATACTTCCCTTGTTGAAAGCGGTCGTTCAACTCATTGATGTACTGTGCCATAACCATTCCTTCAATCTCATCATACTCACGAATACTTCCTTTCCGAGGACATTGTTGTTCCGTGCTGTTGTGGCAGTCTTCTATGATAGCGTCTCTCTCTTCTGGTGACAATCCTTTCTTGTTATCTGCCATTGTGAGGTGATAGCCAAACATAGTCTTCGTGGGTTTCACGTGCTGCTGCTGGAGGTTCAGTCTGTCAGGAGCCCTAGTCTTACGCTTTGGTCGTCCTGATGCCCGAATCTCCTCCATGGTATCATCAATTCTCTGAGTTTGTTCCCTGACGGCTTCTTTGATTCCTTCGGGAATGCCATCATCGCTCGAATCATCGTCAGAATCATCGTCAGAATCATCTTGCTTTGCTTCTTCACCATCGTCACTCTCCTCGTCATCACTGCTATCCGAGTCATCGTCATATGCTTGGTTCGCTCGAGGCAATAGTGCTGGTGGTTGATCTTGGTTGTCAACGACTGGGACTGGTCGCGATCCACTAGCAAGTAGATCCGCTAGCTCATTCTGATCCAATTCTTCCCATTCGTCTTCATCTTCATCGCTTTTGTAGCTTGATTCACTGTCAGAATCCGAGTCATCATCAGATTCGTTCCAGTCTTCGTCGTCATCGTCGTTTTCCCCGTCCACTCCTGCAAGCCAACGGCTTGCGTTGAACTTAGAGTCACTTCGATGCTTGATACTTAAACTCCCGATCTTCTGTTTATCTGCCATTTCGTGCACGCGATCAATTACGCGCTGAGTCATCGGCACTAGCCACGCCCGTGGCCTGGAAATCTCGCGTCCTGAGCGCAAGTCGATAACAACATTGCACTACGCTAAAAGCTAGTGTAAAGATCTTTCGAGTGTTTTGAGTTTGAGAGAATGAAAGTTATGAGAGAGATTAGAAACCTATGAAAACTAATCAACGAGAGAGATCGTCATCAAGGGATCGTAGATCTGGTCTCCCGCGGGAGACTATAAAGTGTGATAGAGTAGGTTGCGGTAGTAATCCTACGTATCTCCACGATCCTAAAACGGAACGCGTGGAAGATTTGTCTAGCATGGATCTAGTAGCGTGGAAGTACTCCACGCTGGCTAAATATCTAGAGCGATGTTTCATCATCAACCTAGTATGACTAGAGCGGTCATTGAGAACCCTGTCTCAAATGACTATTCGCGAGAGACTCAGTCATGAGTCGAACTCAAACCCTATCTAGGATCGAGTCGCGAATAAGGCTAAGAGCCGTGTATTGCAACATGGCCACCCTGAAAATTCCGAGCAGGGCGGAGATAGATGGCATCAATCGTTCGGGGATTCATCGTATTGTCTCCGTCTTGATTCACATTCACATAAAAACCAAACCCAAACTGGAGTTCTTTGTCATTATCAATGTGTCTGCCTGTAATGATGGTATAGGGGCTCAATTGGTCTGAAATACCAAGCTTGGTCGGGACTATTGTCACCGAATCAGCACCTTCCGTAACCACATTCCGGAGCATCACCCGAGGCATTCTCTCAAAAGGCAAGTGTGCGTAGTAAATGCGCACTCGCTCCTTGATAATTCTGTTGTTTCGCTCTGCGGCATGCACATGCTCATCCGCAGACGCGTAATTCGTCGTGATTTGCATTTTATCCTTGACAGGATCGAGAATCTTCTCAAACTCCCCATCGCAGGAAACCACCGAGATACGAAATCCTGCCGCGTTATAGCTGCGCAAAATCTCATTGAAACCCGCAAGTACAGACTTCTTGCTGCGGTTCTCGATGTGAATGCAATGCCTGAATCGTACAGACAGGTCAATTCCGGTTAGGAACACTTCCTTGTTCACGAACATCAAATCCATGCAGTATTCCAATTCCTTATGCATGGCCACTAGTGATTGGGGAATCTCTGCCCAATCAACTTTCACTGGGGCAGGACGCTGTCGCGTAACCCTTCCCTTCAGTGCACCCACGTCTTCTCCATACACGAGTACCATATTCCGAACGTTCTTATCAGTCACAGGACAATTCCGAATCACATTATGCTTGATGGCTTCGCGGAGAGTACGAATCGTAGGGGTTCCCATACGGAAGTATAGCTGCCGAGCTTTCTCCATGCCGGCGCGTTCTCGCTGGGGAATCATCTTCAAATTTTCATCAACAGTCGGAACAGACTTCCCCACTCCTGCAGTTTCGGCAGGGGCCGTCTTCGACTTGACTTGGGCTAATTGGAGTAACGGATCGTCCTCCTTCATCCCTTCTTGTTTCCGCATTGCCGCAACGGCGTCAAGAAACTCTTTTGATACCTGATACATGTACATACCATTTTTCCGTCTTGTGAACTCGACGATCTTCCATGGTGTCTCCACGTAAACGATATCTGCTTTGCGGTTGTCGTACCACATAGGGAACGTATCTGACAAGTGAGTCCATCCCACGCAATTCATCAGGAACGACTTGTGAATAACGGCGGTTCCTGGCAACCCGGGTATATCACCCACTATACGGAACTTTCCAATTCCAACGTTCGTTTTCATGCCAATCGGTGTATCCAATTCCCGAATATTATGGCACATTCTTCCATCCTGCACAGTTGCCGCGAACGTCGATCCGCAATCCACTGCTAACATAGTTCCTTTGGGTAACTGCGAGAAGATTGCACCACAGTCTTTCTTAGGTCTGTCGGGTTGGGATCCCGTATCAAAACGAATACGATCCTCCTCGACTAACTCCTGACTGAGGTGATAACCAAAATACTCGTCACTGCCACTTAACTTATCGGCTATCTGACATGAAACTTCTGCTGTTCGTTGTACTTGAACATCATGAAAGCTTTGTAATCTTCCGGCGAAATCGTGATTGTTTGCATCCCCTGGAAGCTCGTACCTGGTTGACTCCAAGAGGTCTGCTGCGAACTTTGGCTGCTGGTCTGTTCACTCCTGCGCATCGGAGCACTTTGAGTCACAGGCGTTGCCGCCTGCTGCTGCGGTGGAGCCGCATGAAAAAAAAAATAACGAAATTTTATTTTAAAGGCTACACCTCGTCAGACGATCCGCTGAATGGTGCCGTGACGAACCCATATTCCTCAGACGCACGAGGGCGCCCACTTAGGCCTAGTGTAAGCCCCCCACCGGAGAAATTGAACAAAACTCCGGAGGGTGCTGTACGACTAACTATCTACGCTAGGCTAAATCGCCCGCTATTGCTATGGGAGTCCCACACCGGCGCATAGTTACCCTGATTGGGAAGGCTGCTCACGTGCATGCTCATCCCTCATTGCTTTGTCCACAACTGGAAGCCAATTTGCCAGCCATGCTTTGATATCCCCCGGCCCTTTGGCCATCTGTTCCTCCAGGGGTCGTTTGAAGATGGTATCAAGAAGATGCTCTGGGAGCAGGTACGCTTTTTCATACAGGAGCTCAACCTCTCGTTGAAGCTGTTCGTGTTTCTTGCGCCATTTCTGTTCCTGATCCCGGCCGTGCCTGGCGGCATTGCGGTCCTCCCAGAGATTCCACCACTGCTGGATCAGAACAGAAGACAGGTTGGTGACCCAGAGCTGCCCGGTCTTGGTGGTCTCCTGGGAGCCGACCCGATGCAGATATGCGTCTTGATGCTTAGCCCAGTGCTTGGACAAACGTCCTCTCAGGAAGTTATCCCAACCAATGAGATTTTGAGTGTCAACAAGGTCCCTATACCATTCCGGGTAATGCCACGGATGTAGGAACCGGTCTTCAAAGTGATATTGAAGCCCATCAAGAACAATTTCCAGGAGGAAGGGGTCTGTGGAATCCTTGCGCAACTTTGTGCTGATTGCTCGTTGCATGGTCCCTCGCCACAAATCCACGTCAACATGCGGGCATCTGTACACATGGGTCTCAGTCTCATGATCACCACCACAACGGGGACAATGGTGATCATACTTGGGGTCGTCTCGGTGGATCCGTTTCCCAACTGGCAACAATTGAAATATAGAAACTTCACAATTGTCGGTTTGTGGATCTCATGTCGATTGACAGCACGACCATGTGCTGTCCAATCAACCAGTGCGGGGGTGTCCTCGTCCCAGTCAGGATTCAGTTTGACAATGTGGTCGAACAAGGGCTGGTCGTTCCTTAGATGCCGCAGTGTTCTGGGAAGCTTGTATGTGCATGTTCCTTTGGGAAGGTGCAGCTGGGCCAAGTTGGCGGGAAATCGGAGCACCTTGGAGTGGTCCTGTTTCATGTGTCTGGTCATGTAACTGCCTGCCAGTTTGTCGGCTCTGCAGTTCAGTTGTGCCTTCAAAGGTAGTGTTTCGATGGCCTTGTGCTTATCCTGGTGCGATTTGATGTGCTCCATCTTGGGCACGGTAATGGCAGCTCGAAACGATTCCTCGATCTGCTGCAGGACATCCCAATCGGAGTCTAAGGAATCTTGGGGGTACCAGCCCTCGTAATCCAGACAGCCAGCACACTTGTTGGTAACGGATTCATTGTCACACAGGTGTACATAAGTCTTCATGCTGGTTCGGCCCTAGAACTCCAGCAATCTCTGCAGAAGGCAAGTAGGGGATAGAATGCCATAAGCCTCCGCCCTGTAGGAAGTCGGAACCATACCAAAAACTGGACCAGAGCACCGAAGCACAATCTGACCGCGATTGTCTGCCAGAACCCAAGCAAAACTCGCCTTACCGGCGTCAATGTCTGCAGCCCCATCACTCGCCACCCAGAAGGGCATGGCTGTGACAATCTGCAGGACGGAGTAAGCGTCCACCATCCATTGAAGCTCGTCATAGAGAGCTGTTTCCCAAGGCTCCAAAGTGGAAAGGAAATCCTCAAATGTTGTTGGTGTGGGTGGTAGTGGACGAGCAGGAATGCCTGCTGTGAAACCACTACCAACTACCACTGTCTCACGCTTGTTGAATAGGGTCAGGTCTAGGACTCGCCGCCTTCCAGAGTCTGGTTGAACTGAGGTGCAGGATCGGGGGGAGTAGGGATCCAGTGGCACAGAGTTGTGTAGGATGCTGGCGTCAAGGTAGGTCTCATCTTCGAACTCCCAGCGATGAACTGTCCGTTCCTTGTTTGGAACTGGATGTTGGAACATCCAGAATTCGGACTCCTCATTATCAACTTGTTGATAGACGACGTTGGCATCAACCTCGTAGAAGAACCTGTGGCTCATGCGGAGCTTGTCAGCAGAGACGAGCCATCTCCCCAGGGGTACGTCCAAAGTCAGATTCGGAGCGAAGAGGGATAACGCTTTCCTCCACAACCACCAAGTCCTGGGATCCCGGGGTCGATTT